CGATCATCAGCTTCGGCGTGAACATTTTGAAACTTTTCACATTTGGTTCAAGGAACATGTATGTATTTAAGCTCAAAAGGTCACAACAGATTTGGGCTTTACGTATGAGACGTGGGGTGCATGTCCCAACAGTTGCATGTTGTTTCGAAACGAGGACGCTAATCTTGATAAATGTGTCATATGCAACAGTTGTAGATGGAAATCAAATGGTGATGGTGGTTCAAATGGTTCTAACACAGGTGGCAAACAAGTAGCTGCAAAACATATGAGGTATTTTCCTTTAAATTCAAGGTTGCAGAGGTTGTTTATGTCATCGAAGATGGCCAAGTTAATGAGATGGCATGCAGAGGAACGAACTGATGATGGTGTCTTCAGGCATCCTGCTGACTCCCTTGCATGGAAAGATTTTGACCGTCGGAATATTGACTTTAGTAATGATTGCCGAAGTGTAAGGCTTGGCTTAGCATCTGATGGTTTTAACCCATTCAGGACGATGAACATGGTTCATAGCACTTGGCCTATTGTACTCATTCCACACAACTTGCCGCCATGGATGTTCATGAAGCAACCATTTCTAATTTTAGCCGTGCTTATTGACGGCCCAAAAGGACCTGGTGACAAGATTGATGTTTATATGCAACCGTTGATTGAGGAGTTGAAAGAACTATGGAATGAGGGTGTGTCAACATTTGATGCATCAACAAATCAAATGTTTCAAATGCATGCAGCTTTACTGTGGACAATTAGTGATTTTCCTGCATACGCAAACTTGTCAGGATGGAGCACTAAAGGAGAATATGCATGTCCTTGTTGCAATAAGGAAACTACATCGTGTTGGTTGAAGCATAGTAGGAAACAATCGTACTTGGGTCATCGCAGATTTTTACCTACTGGCCATAAATTCCGGAAGGATAAAGTATCATTTGATGGTAGTCGGGAAGTCAGACTCAAACCAAAATTGTTGTCTGGAACTGAGATGTTGCTACAATTAGAATTTGAGGCTATTTTAACCCAATACAATAGGGATGACCTTAAGGAGAGACATAGGAGACAGGTAGAGAAGGAGAAAGCTGGACATCGCACCCATAGTTGGAAAAAAAAGAGTATCTTTTATGAATTGCCATATTGGGAGCACAATCTAATAAGACACAACCTCGATGTGATGCATATAGAGAAGAATGTTTGTGACAATGTGTTGTGGACAATATTAGGGGTTGCAGGAAAATCGAAGGATGGTGTTAATGCTCGGCGTGATTTACAAGATATGAATATTAGAAAACCCCTACATTTGCAATTAAGAGGGTCGAATAAAGCCTATTTACCACTAGCACAATTCACGATGACCAAGGATGAGAAAGATTTGTTCTTGAAAGTGTTGAAGGAAGTAAGAGTTCCCGACGGGTATTCATCCAATATATCACGTCGTGTGCGCTTACATGATAGAAGCATTGGGGGTCTTAAGAGCCACGATAGTCATATTCTGATGCAACAACTTATGCCATTGGCTATTCGCAGATCGTTACCGAAGAATGTAATTGAACCCTTGATTGAATTGAGCAATTTATTTAGACAATTGTGTTCGAAAGTGAATCGTACGACGGATTTGCAATATATTAAAGATCGTATCGCTATAACACTTTGTCATCTAGAGAAAATATTTCCTCCGAGTTTTTTTGATATAATGGAGCACTTGCCTATACATCTAGCTGATGAAGCGTTATTGGGTGGAGCGATTCAGTTTCGATGGATGTATCCAATTGAGAGGTATCTTCTTACTTTGAAGCAATACGTGCGTAATAGAGCTCGTCCTGAAGGATCAATTGCTAAAGGATATCTTATGGAAGAATGCATGAATTTTTGTGCACAATATCTCAGTGATGTGGAAACCAAATCTAGTCGACCCGTGAGGAACTATAGTGGTGCTGATAATTTGGGTCATGCTACTGGTGAAAACACAAGCTTTTATCTTGATAATACTTCTTGGATACAAGCTCATCGGTATATCTTATGCAATACAAGCACGGTTCAACCATTCATAAAGTAGGTTAAGTCACTCACTCAATATTTTATTACGTTTTATTGAATTTTCAACTAAAATTTTTGTATGGCTAAAATTTCAATCTACACAGCAAACACCTTGAAGTACTTAAGCTCAAAATGCCTCGTGTCGACGATCATCAACTTTGGCGTGAACATTTTGAAACTTTTCACATTTGGTTCAAGGAACATGTATGTATTTAACTCTATAGATTCTAGTTACTTAAGTCGATCTACATTTTAAATTTTACATTTTCGTGTTAAATAGGTCCAAACTTTGCGAAGGACTACTAATGTCATACTTTCTAAAGAGATTATTCTATTGGCAAATGGTCCTCATAACCTGGCAAGGAGGTTCAACGGGTATATACTGAATGGGTTGACAACATTCACAGAAAGAAACAAGATGTCTTCAATTTCACGTTGGTGAACTTCAATCATTTGTTGTACCGAGATGATCGAATTACCAATGAACCTTTCATCTTGGCGTCCCAAGCAGAGCAAGTTTGGTATGTTGCAGACCCGTTACAACCAGACTGGCAAGACGTGGTGAAGATGTCTCAAAGAGGTTTATTTGATATGAGTTCAACTGATCCACAAATCGAGCCATACATGAGCCAACAATTGGAAGAAAATATAATGCTTCGTGATGAAGAAGTTGGTTGGGTGAGGGAAGCCGCAGAAGGGGAAACAGTTGATGTTCAAATAAGCTGATATGTAATCAACATTAGTAATTCAATTAAGGCCAAGGTTGTAGTTAATCATCAATTTCTTAATTTACTTTGTCTTTGTAATTGTATTAGTTCAATTCATGTCATATTATAGTTGATGACAAACCATTGTCTATGTTTCTAATGTCAGTTAATGTTATATTGCTTGCAGATTATTATGGGAAGGAAGAGGAAGCCTGATCATCCCCGGCGCATGATGTCTGATGTGCTACATAACAGGACATCAGTAGCACCACCATTAGAGGAGGCATCACATCGGCCAGCATCGGAGGGGCCATTAGTGCCACCACCATCTGAGGGGCCATTACCACCGTATCGACCACCATCAGTGGCACCACAGCAGAAACCATGTACTCAGCCTCCACGCCTACCATCGGTGTGTCCACCATCAGTGGCACCACTGCAGCTATCATCATCAGCTTATGAGCCATCCGCAGGTATTTAAATTTGCTTTGATTTGCATGAAAATTATTTACACATACATTTATTTATGCTCATTATATATAACTTGTTTATTCTCATTGTATTTTGCAGACCCTTCGACTTCTTCACAGCCCACATCAGGTTTATTTGATATGATTTGTATTCACATTATTTAAATTTGTATTTGGTTGTTACCATTGCATATTGTTTATTATTATTGTATATCACAGGTCATGTTAGTTCTTCATCAACCTCGACTAGGCATGGTAGAGGATGTGCCAAGGGCATTAAAGAGTGAGGTACTAGTAAAAAGCTGCGCATACAATTTGATGGAAATTACTGCCCAATAGGGGATAACGTGGCCAAGTTAACTACTCAACTTGGCATTATTGTCCGGAATGGTAACATTGTTCCTCTTACTTTTCTCGACTGGAACAATGTGCCTGATGATATTATTGATGCTATCTGGAAGGATGTGAAGGTAAAAGTATATTTTTGTCCACAAATTCGAATTCCAAATTTGTGTTATACTTAGCCTTAAACTTTGTGTTTTATAGGACAATTTGAATATATGTCCAGAGGAGTACAAGCCAATCTGCATGAAAAACTGCAACAACATATGGAAGGATCACAAGAACAAGCTTAAGGCTAAGTATTTCAAACCTAGAAGCTCTGATCCTAATATGAAGGATGATGTTCCTATGAACATTGTGCCAAGCCAGTGGGAACAACTTGTAGAGTATTGGCGTACTTCCGATGCTGAGGTATACAATTACGTTATATTTAAGATATGTAAACATACAAATCATATTTACATACTTACATTTGTTGAACTTGTTATAGAAAATTGCAAGTAGGAAAGCTAAAAATCGGCGAGCTCACGGCATAGCTCATACCACAGGGCGTACAACTAATCCTTTAAGTTTAAATTATCATTTTTTTTTTCTATTTCATCCATAAATTATCAATTTTACCATTCAATCCTTCAAGTTTTTTATTTTTTTATTTTTTCCAAATCATATGCTCTAATTAGAAATAGTTTGTCAAAATCATATGCTCTAATCATATGCTAAAAAAATTTTAGATGACCAGTAAGGGGGAGTCTACTGATAAGATGAATGTTTGGCTTATGACACGTCGAGTAGATGACCCAGATGTTATCCAGACCTTGGTAGTTTCCAAACACCTTTGATTGTATTTAAAGTTTATTTTTTGTGTGTCAACCATTTTAATTTCGTGTATACTTGTGTGTCTTATTCAATACAGGATGAGTTTAATCGTCAACTCTCTATGCTACCTGAGGATGGTCGGACTTTGGAGGCTAGGAATGCCATTTTCCATGAGTTGATAGGTCATGACGGACATGGATATTGTCGCACATACGGGAGAATCGTGCCTCGGAGAGTGGTGTATAAGGATGGTGCTGGGCCATCACAGTCAACACCCCATCCATCGACTATTGATCAGATCACGCAGCAGGTTCGTGCTGAGCTAAGGGATGAGTTGAGGGAGGAGCTGCGAGCAGAGTTCTCTACACATTTGCAGCAGATGAGAGCTGAGATGATGGCCCTTGTGTCACAGGGGGCGAGTGTGGATCCCAACAGACAGGTTCCATATAAACATCACAATTGTTTGATAGTTCAATTTTCACTCAAGATTATGTATGAAATTCGAATATAATTAACACATTATGCACTGACTAACATAGGTTCCTAATGCATCGAGTGGCCACCAGGCATTTAGGGAATCTGCAGAAGACGAGAATCCATATACACCACCACCAGAAGATCAGGTATAAAATGTATCTTTGCATTCTAAGTTAAAATGCATCTTTGCGTTCTTTACTTGAATTCGAGGCGTTAACGCCCCAAAATCACCAACCGGCGTCGGTTTAGGACAAAACTTGGCACACACAACCTCCTAGGCACGAGAGACTTGTGGGAGAAAACGGGGCTCGAATCGGGTTCCCGGTTTGGGAGTTAGAGTCGGATTTCACTTTAGGCAAACAACTTCCTTAAGAAACTTGAAATCGAGGCGTTAACGCCCCAAAATCACCAAACGGCGTCGGTTTAGCACGAAACTTGGCACACACGACCGCCTAGGCACGAGAGACTTGTGGGAGAAGACGGGGCTCGAATCGGGTTCCCGGTTTGGGAGTTACAGCCGGATTTCTCTTTAGGCAAATTACTTCCTTAAGAAACTTGAATTCGAGGAGTTCACGCCCCAAAATCACCAAACGGCGTCGGTTTAGGACAAAACTTGGCACACACGACCTCCTAGGCACGAGAGACTTGTGGGAGAAAACGGGGCTCGAATCGAGATCCCGGTTTCGGAGTTAGAGCCGGATTTCACTTTAGGCAAACTACTTCCTTAAGAAACTTGAATTCGAAGAGTTAATGCCCCAAAATCACCAAACCGCGGTCGGTTTAGCACGAAACTTGGCACACACGACCGCCTAGGCACGAGAGACTTGTGGGAGAAGACGGGGCTCGAATCGGGTGCCCGGTTTGGGAGTTAGAGTCGGATTTCACTTTAGGCAAACTACATCCTTAAGAAACTTGAATTCGAGGCGTTCACGCCCCAAAATCACCAAACGGCGTCAGTTTAGCACGAAACTTGGCACACACGACCGCCTAGGCACGAGAGACTTGTGGGAGAACACGGGGTTCGAATCAGGTTCCCGGTTTGGGAGTTAGAGCCGGATTTCACTTTAGGCAAACCACTTCCTTAAGAAACTTGAATTCGAGGAATTGATGCCCCAAATTCACCAAACGGCGTCGGTTTAGCACGAAACTTGGCACACACGACCGCCTAGGCACGAGAGACTTGTGGGAGAAGACGGGGCTCGAATCGGGTTCCCGGTTTGGGAGTTAGAGCCAGATTTCACTTTAGGCAAACTAGTTCCTTAAGAAACTTGAATTCGAGGAGTTAACGCCCCAAAATCACCAAACGGCGTCGGTTTAGGACAAAACTTGGCACACACGACCTCCTAGGCACGAGAGACTTGTGGGAGAAGACGGGGCTCGAATCGGGTTCCCGGTTTGGGAGTTAGAACTGGATTTCGGTCTAGTCAAAATTATTTACTAAACTATGTTTCTAATTATATAGTAGTCAATTTTTTTTTATATTTTTCTATAATTAAAATATTAACACATTATATGGTTTTTAATTATTTTTATCTTGTTTTTTTCAGATATTTCCTGAGTAGCAGTTGGCTTTTTCTGGAATGCGGGCGTATCAAGATTATGACCAATTTTTGTTTTTGTAACCCACGAACGAATGAAGACGAAAACTTTTGATTTTGCTTTTGATTTATGTTATTTAAATTTGTGAGCAACATTATGTATGTATTATGCGACGTTATGTAGTGGCATAATTTTTATTGTTATGAATTTTTATTTATGTATTGCTATGAATGGAACAATATTATTAATTTTCATTATTTGTCAATTTTTGTTTATGTACGTATTTATATTATTCTGTAATTTTTCGATTTTTTTATAGTTATTTTTTATCTAATACAGGTTATTTTAATTTTTTTAATAATTTTTCAGCAGGTTTTTTTTTTTTTGAGACGGGAGAAGAACCCGTCGCAAAAAACAATAATAGGCTTTTACGACGACACCAACACAGTCGCAAAAGCTGTGCAATTGGAATTTACAAGACACCTTTAGCGACGGTAACCGTTGCCGTTGCCAATACTTATAAGATGCCAAAGTTTTAGCGACGGTAATGTTGTCGTCTCAAAAACTCACTTTTAGCGACGGGAATTACGTGCCGTCCCGAAAACTGATTTTTTTTCCATTATTGGCGACAGGAAAAGTGCCGTCGCAAAAAACACACCTTACCGTCGCAGAAACTAATGGCGACGGTACTTACTATCGCTAAAGCTCTTTTGCAACCCCCTTTGTCGCAACCCCCCCCCTTATCGTTGCAAAAAGCCAAATTACCGTCGCAAAAAGTATTAGCGACGGCTTCCGGGGCATTTGCGACGGCTCTTTATCGTCGCAAAAAACGCCTTTTTTTGTAGTGTTAGTTTGATTTTGTATTTATATAAAGATGATAGATTGATTTTAATTATTTTGATTAGTTGTGTATGTAAGGTTTATAGTTTTTAGATGATTGATTGATTTTAATTATTTTGTTTAGTTGTGTATGTAAGGTTTAGAGTTTTTAGTTGATTGATTGATTTTAATTATTTTGATTAGTTGTGTATGCCAAATTTAGGGTTTTTATATAGATTTATTTTATGGTTGTAATCACACTCATGGTTATATGAAATTAAAATTAATTAGGAACCCATAGATAAATTTTTTATACTCCACCATGATTCCATGGATTGTTATTTTATTTGAGTGATAGTAAAAAAGAGTGTATAAAAAAAAATGAGGATTATGAGATTTATTTGAATGCCTTAGACTTGGCGTTGTTATGTTGTTCTCATGAGTGAAATGTTTTATATATGTATATTGTTGTCTCGTTCTCATGAGTAGACGAGTGGCTTGATTTATGCGCGTACGTATATGCTAACCATCCGAGGAGTGTGAGTCAAACTCGGGACGATATTCCCATGCAAGTTTGGCTACGGGAGGCACATGGAATATATGTGTAGGCCGGAAGTGAAGGACCGAAGTGGTGGAGTTAAGGTATAAAGAATTTAATTACGGGTTTATTGTTATACTGTGAATTGTATTGATTTGTACATCTTGAAAAATAGTAAATCACCTCGATAAATTATGAAATTTGAGCAGAGGCATCTATACGTGATTCTAGACAACTTTTGTGTTTTAACTTTTTATTAAAAAGATGGATTAGAACTTATAATCGGATAATCTTGGTTATTGTAATTTTGATTCATTTTAGCAATGCAGATTTTAGAGATTGTTTTAACCCACGAAACGCTCATTTTTATTGGTTTCGCATAAAATGAGGTAAAACATTATTCTGCACACTTTTCGTGTTTTGAACTTTTCCCCAAAAAAATCATCTTAGGGCAGTTTTTGTTTGTTTTCAACTTTAGATTTTTCGATTGAATTCCGTTTAGGTTCTTCTAACAAGCTTTTCTCTCAATTTGTTCAGTTTCTGTTAAATTCGTTAGCACTGTCTTTTAGGAAATTTGATTCTGTACAACTTTTGTTCTTTGAGTTTTGGTCAATTCGAATTATTTAAGCATGAAACAGTGCATTTTTATACTTCTTCAGCAAGTTACTTATGATTAAATTATACTAATTTTATTTTTTTACAGGATGGTGGGTCTTACTAACTTTTTTATGCAGGGCTGACCCGCCATATTTTTATTTCTATTTTGTTTATTTTATAATCAATTTATATTTCGTTGTGTACAGGAAAGAAACCAAATGCCATCATATCTCAGGAAACTACCCATATGTCTCGGTGCAGATGGAACTACTTGTCTTGTCCGATAACAAGAATTAAATATATTTTTGTTGTGTCTGGTGGACACGTGGGTGTTAAATCTTCTACTCATACCAGTATATCTGTATACTGACCTGTTTTGTCTCTTGGCAACTCGGGTGCGTTCTATTTGAGTGCAACCGAGCCTCCTTTGCAGGATTAGTTGGGGCTACGGTAGTGACGTGGAATAACTATAGCTGTTGGACATGTCGTTTGGACTTCTTTTGTTTTCTTGAGGTTAGGGTTGATATTAGTTTATGTATTTATTATTTTTTTTATGACTTTGGTATTGGGATAATTTGGCATAGTTTGTAACCGTACATTATTTAAGTTATTTTGGCTATTTATTGTTACTTTAATGTTGGAGGTATTGGTTAGTTATGAAATTATGGTGGATGGTTTAGTTGGCATTTAGTTTTTTTGTTTCACCCCTAGAATTTGGATGATGGAATATTGATTGGGGT